AGGAGCTGCCAGGAAGTGGAGCGGATGCTGGGAGCCGGGGCTGAAGGAGGAGGGGGTCCCTGAGGTGGGGGGCTGGCCGGGGGGCCGTGTAGGAGACAGAGCCCGCCCCCCGAAGTTTGACAGCCATTGTCTCCCAGGTGGTGGAGTTAGGGCTGACTCTTACTGCCTTCTTTGTGTTTTTCTGCTTTTGACAAATATTTTTTTCGCTGAGCACTTATTTCCAATGTAATCAGAGAAACAACAATTCCCGGGTGGATTCCTGTGGGATTTTTGTTTTTGCACTTCTGTAGAGTTCGAATATTTTACAAGAAGGTTGTACTTCTCTTATAATCAAAAACAAAAGGCAGGCGGCCAGGAAGAGTATTACCTGCGGCGAATGCGGCAGGCCCTGCTCGCTGTGTTAGCACAGCACGGGGAAGCCCTGGTGGGACCATTTCTCAGCGACTGTGACATGCAGCCTTGGTGCCGGGGGACGGGCGAGCGATCACACCGCATTTCTCGTGTCATGTTCTTCTCAAATCTGCTCCTTTGGTCAGACGCATGGAACGTCTCCAGTTAATACCCCCAGTCATCTCACAACATCTGACAGAAGACTTAACTCCTTAATTCTATGAAGACGGTTTGGGATCTCTAATTACTTCATTGAAAAAAGGCAGACACTCCAGGCTGCCGCAGTGTTTGGGAATTAATCTTTAAAGCCTGACAGTGAACATTAAATTCAATTAGGGAGAGCAACTGGCAGAGATTCATCGCTCCTTCGCCCTGGGTAGCTTGGAGCAAGGCTGAGTGGCCCAGTGGATTCCGACCATGCTGTCATCGGCAGCCCGGAGCTGCTCGGGCTTTTCACTTGTGAGGGGAGTTAGCGTGCAGGTCGCAGATTCCCCGGGAACCGTGTCTGACACGCTTTCAAGGGGACCCTGCCCCGGAGTCCCGGCGTGCCCATGTGCTGCCCTTGGCCTTGAGCTCTTAGAGTTCATGCTTCCTCCCATGGTTCCTTCCTGGGAACCATGTTCCTCCGCACTCTGCCTGTTCCTCTCTTCCCCCTACTGCTCCTTCCTTCCTCTCCTCTTCCTCCTCACCGCTCCCCTTTTCTTCCTTGGGAGCGTCTTCTCTCCACCTCCTCCTCTCTCCTTCCTCCTCCCCGCTCCTCTAGCATTTCCTTATTAGTTTAACAGTTCATTTTAAATTAGGAACTATTTGTCTCCGTTGCCTTCAAAAGCGCAGACACCTGTGTGCCCACCGTGGGCACGGTTCAATCCAGGGTTGGCCCCCGTTCTGACCCAGCCTCCAGAGCATGGAACCCGTGGGCCAAGCGCGCCACAAGATGCCCGCTCCTCTCACCTCTCAGGGCGCCCTCTCTTTCCCCTCCCTGGGAACCCTCTCTGTGCTAACCACGCACATCCCCTTGCAGAGCTCAGCTTGCTCCGGACAGAGACATACTCCAGGACAGTGACTTCCTGAGCGTCACCTCCCTGGGCCTTTCTCTGGTGAACACCCTCCTCTGCCCAGCGACCCCTTCCTGTCCTCAGAGCAGAGCTGCTGGGCTCTGGCTGGTCAGCTGGCTCCTCCCAGAGGCTGACCACCCTGTGGCCCCATCGCCCACTCCTGAGACCCGGGGTTGTCCCCATGTCTTTCTTGCCCTCATCCTGCCTCCCGCCCCCGGACTCCCGCTGGCTGTCCCCCTGAGGTGGCTTCTGCAGTGCCTCCTCCTCTCTGCCTGGCTTTCAGAAGCGGCTGCTCGCCTCCCTGTGTCGCCAGGAGCCTCACTCTGCCCCGATAGCTGGAGCCAGCGCTGCCCGCCTCCCCGCCTGGGCGCTCTGCTCCCGTGCCTTCAGCCCTGTCTCCTCTCTCTGCCTAGAGCCCCCTCCCCCAGTTCTGCTTCTTATTCCTCTCCTGTCTGGCCCCCTCCTCCCGTCTTCCCCGAGAGGTCTGGCCTGGCCACCTTTTCAGCGCCTTCCCCTGACCTTGGGAACCCCTCTCTTCGTTACCTTTTAAAACCAGTTGTTATCACTGCCTGGCTTGTGCGCCCGTCTCCCGGGGCAGCATGCACACTCTTCAGAGCTGTGGCTTCGGGCCTCTTGTTTACTGTCGCACAATGCCTGGCTGATAGCGGGCTCTCAGGAAGTACTTGTCGGGAGTGAATAGGTGAACGATATCACAGGCAAGCATTCAGGCATCTTTTCTCCCTTTCCCCTCTCCTGCTCCTCCTCTCTTCCCTTACCTTTTCTCTCCCGGTGCAAGAAATACCGCTCATTGTCACAGATCCTCTCCTGTAACCCCACCCGTCTCCCCCCAGTCCCGGAAATGCCCACTGTCCCATGCGTGTTTTTACAGTCTTACTAAAAATGCATGGATACACAACATAGGATTTTGTTTTGTATTCCTTTTTTTTTAAATTGTGGTGAAGCCACATGTCATGCACGTCTGTAATCTCAGCACTCTGGGAGGCTGAGGCAGGAGGATTGCAAGTTCCAGCCCAGCATGGGCCTCTTAGCCAGACCTTATTTCAAAATAAAAAATAAAAAAGGGCTAGTGAGAGGATCCTGGGTTCAAACTCTAGTACAAAAAAAAAAAAAAGTGAAACACAGGATAAGACGTACTGTCCTAACCATTTTTAATTGTGCAGCTTATTGGCATCAAGTGCATTCATATTGGGGTGCCACCATCACCACCGTCTGCCTCCAGCACTTTTTATCTTGCAAAGCTGAAACTCTGTCCCCGCTACACAATTCCCGTCCCCTCTCTCTCCTCTCTGCTCGGGCAGTGACCGTTCTACTTCCTGTGTGAGTTTTGAGCATTCAAGAGCTTCTCTGCGTGGTGCCATACGGCGGCTCCTTCAATGACTGGTTATTTCACTTAGGCTGGCGTCTCCAGGTTTCATCCGCATTGCAGCCGGCTGCAGGAGCTCCTTCCGTTCCAAGACTGCGTGCTGTGGATGGTCTCGCCATGTTGGTCTCTGGCCTCCTTTGCCCACGGACAACGTGGGTGACTTCCGCCTGTATAATAACGCCACTGTGAGCATCGGTGTGCAGTATCTCTTTGAGAGCCTGTTTTCAGTTTGGGGGTTCCCTATCTAGAAATGGAATTGCTGCATCCTATAGCAATTCTGTGTTAATCTTTTGAGGAACCATTGTGCTGTCTTCTGTCATGGCGGCACGATTTTACATTCCCACCAGCAGCACCGTGGGTTCCTTTGCCGCACTTGTTACTTGCCCCCTTTTGATAGCGGCTGTACTAGTCCAGTGGGACCTGGGTTTACGGACTTAATTCTTTCCACCATTCTGGTTGCGTACTGAATTAGACGAGAACCAATCAAGTTCAGTGCTTAGGGTTAATGTTGACTTTACTAGGAAATTTGATTCGGTTCTCATCCAGTTGGGTTTGTGGTCAGAATCGTGGAAAGAATTAAGTTTCTGAACTGAAGCACCACTGTAGGTATGAAGTGGTCGTTTCTGTTTTTTTTTTGTATCAGGAATCAAACTCAGGAACTTGCGCTTGCCAGGCAGGTGCTTATGCCACTGAGCTGTATCCCCGGCACTGTGTGTTTTTTAAAAAATAAAATAGCATCATACTTTCTATGCCGCTTGGCTTCTATACCCACTATTCTGTTACTGCTGAAGGGTGTTCACCTTATACTTTTTCTATTTATGCTGTTCTTATACATAGTTTTGAAAAAACAGCCGCCTGCTCTCTGCTGCACCGCCATGAATCTGTACTCTACTTGGGAGTCTTGTGGCCGTTTGTTCTATTATTTCTGTCTGTATTTCCAAGTGTGAACACTGCTACTTCTTGGTTTTCCAGTGTGAGCCCTTGCTGTTGACCTGTGGTATGGAAGAAAGGAGTGGAGCTCTCTTAACATTCTTTGCAGGCTACTCTTGACCTCTTGTTTTCTTAAGCTTAGACATTTACATATTCCCAGGAAACCTGCTCTTAGAACTCTGATCCTTTGCATTTTGAGAACTTCAGGACTTGACAGTTCGGATTTTTTTCTCATCTTTAATGGGAAGGTTTCCCCTAGGGTTGGGTTTGTTGAAGCGTGAGCCTGGGCTCTGTTTGGGTTTCTCTCTTATTAAGGAAGCTGAATCTCGGTCTTCCTGACGTTGTGGAAAGGACCGTGTCCCCTGCAGGCCCCAGCTGCGCGCTGTGCATTCCAGGCCTCCCGGGGCCTCGCTCCTGCCCTGGGTGATGCTTTCATTAATTAGCTCCACCTTGTGGAGGGGAGAATGAGGCCTGGATCGTAACGCTGCTGCACTAGGTCCCAGGACAGGCAGGTAGCATGGTCAAGGGGAGGCGCTTGGGGCCTCGTCTTGCAGCGACAGCGGGGGAGGGGGCCAGCACTGCGGGCTCCCCCACCTGCCAGGCCTGGCCAGCTGTGCGATTCCAGCCAGCTGTGTGAAGGGGGGACGCTGAGCCAGCCCGCACATACCCATGGCCCTGCCTGTCTCAGTGTGTGGTTCTGTGCTTGGGCTCATAAGTCACTTTCAGAACTCATTCTGTGTACGTAGCACCCACCCCATTGCTCCATGGGAGGCTGGAGTGGGAACCAGGGCCGCTGCACCCTCCCCGCGAAGGGAGCTCAGCTGCCTAGGGCAGGGGTTTGCTGTCTGCCAGCTGTTCAGCAGGTGTGGCAGACGTCTTCGTGGATCCCAGTTTTACATGTAACCCGCGAGTATGGCCTGGCTGTGTGCCATGTCCCTTACTGGGCAGATGACGGGGATGCAGGCCAGATGGGGACTGGACTGCATGTCCGGAGCGAGCAGGACTCCTGTGGCCAGCCGGTCGGAAGCAGGTGCAGTCGGCTGGGTCAGTGACAGAGAAGGAAAGGCCCTCCCATTTCTGTAAGGAAAAGCTTAACAAGGAGACACGGTTTTGGTGGTGAAGTAACGGGACTGCACCCCCGCTGTGAACCCCTTCCCCCTGCAGGGGGCGCCGCAGGGCCAGCGGGTCTGTGCTGCCGCCCTCGCACGTACCCATGCTGTCTGTCTGCCTTTCCCGTGCAGGTGTGGGACGCCGTGGACTCGGGGCGCTGCCTGCAGACCTACTCCCTGCACAGCGAGGCGGTGCGAGCGGCCCGATGGTCGCCCTGCGGCCAGCGCATCCTCAGTGGCGGTTTCGACTTCGCCCTGCACCTGACAGACCTCGAAACAGGTACGTTCCTCTGTCGTCGCCGAGGGGAGCTGGCAGCTGCCGCACCGGGAAAGTTTCCTGGAGAATTCAGGCCACAAACGCCATGTGGTGTCCTGCCGCTGGCAGGGGCCTCGGGACAGCCTGCCACACGAGGGGTTTCCAGACGTTTGCTGTTGGAACCGTGGCTCCCGGAGGATCGAGGTGGCCCTCTGCCAGCCGGTACAGAGGACAGAGCCCGAGCTTGTCTCAGTCCCAAGCTGTGAGGCTGGATAAAGACGTGGCTGTTTAATCAACTTCTGACATGCAATTTGTACCAGAATAGATGTAACTTGATCACGATGTCTTTGGTTGGCGTCAGTTTAGAATTCCTGTCAATTCATTACCCGTGAAAGCTGTAAGAGTGATTCCAGCCCATCAGGAAAGTCCTCAGACGAGTTCTGCTTTAATGGCCATGCTGAAAAGGTGCCTGGGTAAGATAGATTTGCGCTGGGTGGATCCTAGGGGGCCCCTTGGCAAGCAGGCGAGAAAGAGAGAGAAGCCATGGAAGGAACTCTCCCTTCCCTGGGGTCCGGAGTGCCAGGTGCAGCCCCAGGGTCTGCAGCCCAGGCTCCAAGGCCGCCCCGTCCCAGGGAGGCGGGGACTGAACAGTACGGTGGGACTGGGACGCAGTGGGCACTCCCTGCCTCCGCGCAGTGTCCGTGTGGCCTTCTGCCCCCGGGCTCTCCTTTGCTTCCTGGCACGTTCAAGGGGAGGAAGAAGGACCAGAGTCACACCAGCGTCCCCAGGCCACCTCCTGCCTGCTGGCCGTGTGGGACAGCCCCGGGGGCCTGCCTCTGCCAGGATCCGGGAGATAGAGCTGCTCACTGCCAGGTCTGACCCCTGCAGTGCTCCCAGCAGCTCCGAGGAGGCACAGACAGGAAATACAGGGTGAAGGGGTGGTGGTAACTTCCAGCTTGGGATCCATCTCCTGTGTTGTCCTCTCCTCCTGGACCACTGAGGGGGCCTCGCAGCTCTTTTGCGCCCATGTGCACTCAGGAGCAGGCTGGCGATCATGGGCGCTGGCGTGCCAGAGACTGTAGGGTTTGCCCACGGCATGTCACGTTCTCATCGGTGTGGGCAGCGATTATGTCCATTTTACGGTGAGGAGATGAAGGGACCAGCTCGGGGCCTCCCCGTGGTGCACGGCTGGCCCGGGCCAGAGCTTGCGTGCAGCTGTGGGCTCCGCACCCTCACCTTCGCCTGGGTGCGTCCCTGGCTGTGTGTGGTCTTGAGATCTTCTCAACCCTGTGAGGTCCCCAGGGCGCGGGGAGTTTGGTGCCCCTTGGCGATGGTGGCGATTAGGCCTGTGCTGGCGGCAGGAGCCCCTGACTTCTGAGCATATGTCTGCAGCCATCCAGAAGGCCTCCTTCGGGCTGCAAAGTGCAGACAACCCCAGGCTGCAGTGGTGGGGCCGGATGCAGAGCCCTGAGCTTAGACAGGCAGGGAGAACCTCCTGGAGGGAGTAAACCGGAGCTGAGCCAGGAATGAAGTGGCCAGAGAACCAGCATAGGAGAGGTTCGTTCGGGGGAGGTCAGGCGGGTTCTCGGTAGGCAGAATGAGGACAGACGTGCACCCACATGGTGTGTGTGGAAACCAGGCAGCCTGTCCCGTGGGCACGGGAGCCTGGGGAGCCCAGGAGGGCATCTCTGGCCTGTGACCATGTGAGCACATGTGGACACCACTGTACAGGTAGAGTGGCAGGTGAGACCCGGGCCAGGTGTGCTCTGAAATTCTTGGGTGTTCCCAGGCGCTGTGGCCTGGCTAGCCAGGTGCCGCTGCAGCAGGGGATGGGACTCACTGAAGCATGAACGGGGGAGAGCTGTGGCTTGGATTTTTTGGGGGTGGGCGGGCTCTGGGAATCAAACTCACAACCTCGGGCTTGCCAGGCAGGCAGTGTGCCACTGAGCTATATCCCCAGCCTCCTTTTTTTTTTTTTGAGACAGGGTCTTGCTGTGTAGTCCAGGCTGGCCTTGAACTCCTCTGTAGCCCTGGCTGGCCTCAAACTTGCAGCAAGCCTTCTGTCTCAGCCTCCTGAGTGCTGGGATTACAGGCGTGCACTACCGTGCCCGGCCTGTGGCTTGGTTTTTGCTTGGGGCAGGTGTCCCATGTGACTGTGACCCTACGGATGGCCGGAGGGCGGGAGTCCCTGCTGCAGCTGTGGTGGAACTGCACTGGAGGACAGTGTGCTGACCTGGGCTGTGTGCCCCACCAGCTCTGGCCTGCCGGGTGGGGGCAGAGAAACAGGCATGGCTCTGTCCTGGGGTATTGCTGCCGAGGCAGGGGTGACTGAGGATACCCCACTCCGCACCTCAGCCGGGACTGGCAGCTGCGCTGGGTCCACTGACTGAAGGCACAACTTTATTCCTTATGCAGTGACTTGCTGTGCACCTGCTGTGTGCGAGGCCTGGTGCTGGCACTGTGGGGCGTGTGTCAGTGTCCTCCATCCCCGGGCAGGGGTGGCTTGAGGTCTGGAAGGGCCTCTGCTGTGGAGGGCGGTGCTTGGCTCCCGTTCATTCCCTGGCCCGCAGGAGCTTGGTGGAGGCAGCCTGCCTGGATGGTCCCAGTCCCTCCTTCGGGGGGCCGGCTGTGGGTAGATGAGATAGGCCGCCCCACTGGGCTCCTGGGGACAGCGGGCCCCCCACCCCGCTCGCACGCCACCCGCATCTTGTGTTGTTCGCCGAGGTTGGGGTGGGCTTGAGTCACGCCGCGGCTTCCCTCCGGCTGGGCCTCGTGCCATCTCCGTAGCAAGTCTGAGCCCCGTTTCCCTTGCCAGGCTCTTTCCCAGCCTCGGTGATTTGGCTGTTTCATTTCAGTCTAATTATGGCTCCCGCCCCGGATCAGGCAGCGCAGGCGCTCTCGCCACGGCGCGGTGGGAATTCGTCACTCGGTGCCCATTGTCAGTAATGGGCATTTGGTGCCAAGGCCATTTATCCTGGTGTCCTCAATCAATACGGTTAGAAATCTGTGGATTCTGAGACGTCAGTACCCGGCCCGGAAGATGGAGGGCCAGCAGCATTTTATCTCGTTAATTTATAGTTCAGACGGGCCGTGGGCTTATGGGGAACCGTGAATCAACACTTAATAAAACTGCTCGCAGATGAATGATTTTTGGCTCTGCGGTTTTGGTCCACAGTCTTCCTAACAGCCGTCTCTGGTGCTTTAGGTGGAGGTGGCCTCTGGGAACACGGGCTGTGGCGGTCAGGGCCCTGAGGGTCCGTGTCCCCGGTCCTGCGTCCCCAGTTGGCCCATCTCCTCAGAATCTCTCGCCACTGGCTTGAGGGGTCTCAGACTCCGCAGCCAGAGGTCATCTATCTTTGCCCATCCTGTGCCTGGTCATCCCATGTTCCTGCCCCCGCAGGGAGCCACCAGGCCCCGCCCCTGGGTGTGATGGGTGTGTGTGGGGGGCGGGGAGTGGCGCGGTCCTTCCCCTGCCTGCACTCTCCACCTGGCCCTGGCTGCTGTGGGCACCGCTGATACCGAGCACTGAGTCAGGGTGCCCCCAGGAGCCCCGTTGCTGGACCATTTCCCAGTGGGCTGCCAGCCAAGCCCAGGGCAGACAGAGGGGAGGCCTTGGGCCACCAAGCACTTCCCCTGGGTTCCCCTTCTAGTGGTGGGGTGGCCGGGCTCTGTATTTTGAGCTCCAGGTTCTCCTTCTGGGAGAGGTCTGCTCTCTGGTGGGTACCCACTGCCTGCAGCTCCGCAGGCCCCAGCCCCTGACTGGCCTCTCCTGCTCTGGAGGGGCCTGGGCCCTTTTTTTTTGTAGTGCCATCTTTTTTGGGAGGAGGGCATGGTGTGTGGCAGTGAGTAGCCGGCTGACCCTGGAACCCGAGTGACCGCCGTGCTTGTTCCGAGAAGGGCTTCGGGCACAGCTGTGTTTTTGCACGACGGGGCCTCTGCCGCAGAGATCCCGCAGAGAGGGCAGGCCTGGCCTGGGCCCTCGCCATGGGCTCTGCCTGCCTGGCCGGGGTGTCCGGCACGCGCAGGGTCTGTGGCCGATGTGTGTGCCGGCCCCTTGCTGCTGTGACACGGTCAGGGCAGTGCCTTGTCCCCGTTTCATCAATACAGACCTGAGGCTTTCGGTTCTTGGTCACTGTTTCGAGGCTCCCAGCTAGGGCACAGGCTCCTCGGGCACGGCTGGGGCAGACAGAGGGTGGGTGCGGCCCCCTCCTAGAGCTGGCCTGCCCTGATTACCTCTGCGGAGGACCCCGAGCGCTCCCCCGACTTCGCGGCTGGCTAACGGATGCTTCTCAGCTCCTGGCAGTTGTGCTCCACGGGCAAAAGGGGGTCAGCCCGAGAGCCTCAGGACACTTGGCACAAGAAGGAGCGAAGCATCTTCCCTGCTGGAGAATGCCGGGGCTGCGAAAGGAGCCCGCGCGGTCCTCACTGTGGGAGCCTGCTGTGCGTGCCCGGCTTCTTCCCCTTCGCCGCGTGGCCGGCACGGTGCCTGCGTACCCCGCGCAGTTCAGTGGCCTCACTGGCCCGGCGAACTTCAGGAGCTCACGCTGGCCGCGTCCCCACGCCAGCACACGTTGCAGAGCGTTGTGTATTTTTCTGTTTGCTCCTTGTGTCCTGTGTGCTCCCCGCTGCAGGAGGAAGATGCAGAGGGCTCCGTGGCCCAGCCAAGCCTGAGCTGGCCATGTCCCCCAGCTGGTGCCCTCCAGGGTGCCCGCAGCCTCCCTGCCTCCCGTGCAGGGGCCCTTTCTCCTCTGCGTGCCCAGGTCTTCTCGGGGTCTGCAGCCAGGCTCCCGCCGTGGGGAAGGGAGGGTCTGCATCCTGAGGCCGCACCCTGGGCGGCCCATGTCCCTCCTGTCTCCCTCCGTCCACAGCGCCCTGGCCCCACCTCGCCCTGCCAGCTCTTCCCACACAGCGGTGGAGGAGGAGCCGGCCCGCCTCGTGGTGTGGAGGTTTTCCTGCTCTTTCCACGCTCCATCCTGGCGCCCTCAGAGGACGACGCTCGGCCGGCCCTCTGGATGACGAGTGGC